GGCAACAAGCCAAGGCAGTACAAAGTCACATTCAAGCAATGTGCGCCTGATGACACTCGGTGGATCTCCAGTACAGATTTGCAGACTTCTGCACCCCTCATCTTCGCCGACTATGAGAAGCGACGCCTTGCTAAGGACGCAGCTCGTCCCGCCCGACCCACCCCGGTATCGGACAGACAACTTCGCCCTCGCAGGTAGCTCGGTCTTTAAGAGGGGGAGTGTGTTACATTTTCGACGCACACGGGTCCTACCGGACCCGACTTAGGGCCGGAGGGACACATCAGGGCCTAAAGGCCCGACCTTGGGGTATTACAGGCCCTCAGGGCCTGATCTTGGACCAATACCTGACGGGCAGGCCCAAACGACATTATCGTTTGGGCCTGGCGGCGCTCTTGAGGCTGCCGCCTGCCGGTTGGGGCTGAACCGTCCATCTGGACAGTTCAGGGCATGGCCAGGCCTCGCAGCATTGAGGCCGGCCTCTGCCCCACCGGTATAAAGTACCGGTACAGCCTCACTTGGAGGCATCGAACCACCGACACTCTATCGGTGCGTTATGGTCAGCGCCAGCACGCTGTTTTGATGCGCTACGTTTAACGCAGGAGCGAGCGAGGAGCAGCAGCGGCAGTGCAGCGGCAAGCAGAGCAGCAGCAGGGCGACTGAGCCAACACGGCGGCCATTGCCGCCTGAGGTACCTGGGAGCGGAGGACCTCTCCTCCCTCCCTCGTCAGCTCTCTCTCTCTCTCTCTCTCTCTCTCTCTCTCTCTCTCTCCTCCTCCTCCTCCTCCTCCTTCTTCTTCTTCTTCTTCTTCTTCTTCTTCTTCTTCTTCTTCTTCTTCTTCTTCAGACTAGAGACTTATACTAGTTGGACAGAGATCAGAGTTGGACTTCGGTGGTATGAGACTGTGGTACTTACCGGATTGGAGACTTGGAGATTGTTGGACTCTGTATCTCCGACATTGGTGACCTATGGTCCTCGACATTTTGATCTTGTTGGAGGACATTTTGGACTACTATATCGGTGATCTATCAGATTCTATCTCGGTGACTTTCGGTGCTGTCTACCTCCCCCCACCTCTTCGTCTCTCCTCCCCCATTCATCTGTGTATGTGTGTACGGGGCTGAGAATCTTCTATGTATGGCTTAGACCCCACCATCTCACGATTGTATGTGTGTGGAGTGATACTATGTGAGTCAGTCTATGTGAGTCAGTCTATGTGAGTCAGTCTATGTGAGTCAGTCTATGTGAGTCAGTCCGTTCATCAGACTTCCGTTGCATATATGCTCACCCTACATTGGTTGATCCTCGGTTCTGCCCATACTCATTGGAGTATGCAACAGACAGTTACTTTTTTCAGATCCCCTCCTTCAGCGTGCAGCACGATCGCCATCAGGTCCCGACTGCTCGTAGCGATGTTGCCGTACCTTGTGACGTCGCTCGGCGGCCTGTCCACGCGTTTCCATGACSYGGGGATGAGCTCGATGTCCTCCCAACWGTACAAKTGACGCAAGACATCGCTTTGCACATTCTGCGGTGCAAAGAAGAAGAGGACCCAATTTGGACCACAACACTTCGCCATCATTGCGTACAGTGCATCGAAGTCCTGCGAGGTCCATGCACTGCTGAAATTCGCGGTGGAGATGTCCACGATGGCGGCCCTACATGCTATTTTTTGTGCGGCTGCGACGATGTCGACGGGCGCCGCCATAACCTCCTTTGACCGCGTGCATACAGGAAGCAATGTGGTCTGCCTGCCGAGTTTGTCCCACACAAGATGGCTTGCACTGGAGGCGATCCGTTTCACCTCCGCTCGAAGCATATCGAGCTTATCGATCATGGTGTATATAAAGACCTTGAAGTGAAATGGAGCCTCCTTGTACATCACTTCTGTAGGCCCCAAGCCCGCACCTTGCCTTGCCTCCTCCACTCCTCCAAGTCGTCGAGGGATCGTCTTCACTAAGTTGCTATGCAGCTTCTCCCGTTGCTTCTCCCATTCATCTGCGCATAACCCGTTTGAAGCATACCTCTCTTCCAGGTCCTTGTACGACATGAAGAAGTCGTCGTTCCATTCGTCCCCTGCCCTTCCCTCGACGCGAAACACGACGTAGTTAAACATGCGGACCATATATCTCTCCTTGTGCATAATGTAGAGGAGGCATTCTGTGTTCACCCTCGGAGGCGTGACTCTCACTTTTGTTGCCACCACTTTCCCCGACATGAGCAGGAGTAACACGACTTCTCTCTCGCGGCATGTCATGTCCCCGAAGTTCTTGAAGTACGTAGGACACAAATCCTTCCAGGACATGGTGGAGCCCTTGGGACCATCTCTCGCATATATGCAGTGGTACAATGTCCGTTGTCCCTTGTTCTTGTCAGTGTACGGGCCAGGCAGGCGCCCCTCCATCCTCCCCGACATCTCAAGTGGGATCTTGCCGTCGCCGATTGGCAGCTTACCCTCCTCGAACATCGCGAAGAACTTCTCCACTTGCGGCCAAACCGTGCGGGTGGACGTGGCGAGGTTCAGGTACCCCGCGAAGTTTGTTACTCCAATCCTTGCTGTACTCATTGTCGAGTGCCTGTTTCACGAACGCCTTGTCGCATGCCTTCCCCATGCAGACCCTCAGGAAGTTCTGCCACGTTTTCTGATGCGCAACGGCGACGACATCCTTCTCGTTGACCTTAGCTTTGTGTGCCTCGATCCTATTGTTGTCGATCGACCATTGCCGCATATCACGCACAGCGTCCTGGAAGGATAACATCATGGCGCGATTCTCCCGTGTGTTGTCGAAGAGGGACACATTGAAGTACCCGCGTGTGTGGTCATCATCGAAAAAAATGACTCGCACTTTAGAGTACGTGCGAAGGCCGTAGACTTTGACCGCGGGGGAGTCCTTTGCAACCAACGGTTTCATGGCCTCGGCAGTATGCTGACCGCAGACAGCGTACCAGTCGAACTCTGCAGAATCTCTTTGGAAGAACTCGTCCGGCGTGATTCGCCTGCCCTGCCCGCCGACGATGACAGTTGGGTCAACCGGCGCAAGAACGAGCTCAGGTCTATCCCACACCCCCGGGTCAGCACTGATGGAGCTTTCTATGGCACTCTCGATGCCTCTCACAATGTTCTTAGACAACGAACGGTAGTTAAAAAGGATCTTCCCACGGGGAATGGGTTTGATCCTATTAACGTCGGCGTTAACAACTTGGACGTCTTGCCTGGCGAAGCCCTGTTCGGCGTATTCGAGGAAGAAACATCGTGTCGTGTCCACGGGCGCGGCGTGCTGAACCAGCTCTTCAATGTCTTCGGGCATGCGAGACCCCACCCCCTCGCCCTCATCCCCCGAGTCCCGCAGCTCAGGTGCCCTTGACCTCTGCGAGCCTTTCCTACTGCCGCCGCGACCACCCCCACGGCTGCCACTTCGCCCCCCCCCACCAATTTTCCGAGGAGCCCGCGCTTCCTGTGATGCCGTCAACGCTTCGCGAGCTTCATTGACGACGTCGGCCCTCGCCTGTTTTGTTCGACTCGCAGGAGAGATCGACGCCTCTCCCCTATTTCGCCTTCCCCGTGAGCTAGGTTCGTCTCTCCCATCCTTCGTCTGGTCATAGGATTGCGACATTCCGCAGGAGGCTGCAGTCTGGCCACCAGCATAGACCGCGTTACCGACGCGGCAGACGTCATCCCCACAGCGCCCCTGCGATTTGTTCTGGTGGCTACGGTGAAATTGGGAGGAGCGATTGTCTTCGACTTCCTCACCAATATCGTCTTTCTCCTCGTCCATGCCATCGTCCTCACCTTCAGCATCTCCTTCGTCACCGTCGTCCCCCTCTCCACCGCCCTCCTCCTCCTCACCACCGCCCTCCCCCTCCTCAACACCGCCCTCCCCATCCCAACCACCGCCCTCCCCATCCCAACCACCGCCCTCCCTATCTTGACCCTTGCATTCCTCGTCATCGAAGGCACCTGCACCTCTCCGGGAACGATGCCGGGGACCAGCCCGATAGCGCACAGCTCCGTCGTCGTAGTCTGTGGCCTCACTGGACTGCTCGGCCGCATCGCGACCTTGCCGATCCGAGGACGGAACCGGAGCGGGCAGAGCCTGGACAACCTCAGGTGACGAAGACAGGGCAGTCGACAATTGCTTCCTCTTTCCACCCGCTCTGGCCGGCTGATCCTGGCGCCGTTTGGGCTCCGCAATCGACAAAGACAATCGGCACGAAAACACGGTCAACTTGCTGGGCAGCAGGCAGCCTCGCAAACTCTTCCCTGTATCGCATAACGAAAGCTGCGAGTTGGTCCGTCGGGCTGTTGAATTGGACCAAAGGTCTGCTGAGCATGAAAGCGCCGTCGACGACAGGCAGGGACCCAATCACGAGGTAGCCATTGGTTTTGGAAAGAAACTTTTCCGGATCCAGCATTTGGAACACCGTTCCGTTCCCGTGCACGTCAAACGCTTTCATCGACAAAGCCTTGACCCCGTATCCTTGGAATAGCCGACGGTCAAGAGACACCTTCTTGTCTTCCTTGACCCAGTTTTTCCCCTCTCTGTCATAGACAGATGTAAGGAAGAAGGTCCTGAACTTCCTGCCGTCGTAGGTAAACCTCCCCACTTCCGATTTCTCCACCCCTCCGCAACACTACCAACTCAGGCCATTGTCATCGCTCAAAAAGACAACGGCTCCGCAACCCGGCATATGAAGGCCACCTACCCAATCAAGAGCCCATGGTTTGTCGTGGTAGAGCTTAGACCTGCCGTACTGTTTTTCGGGGGCGGAGCGAGACACTGTTTTTCCTGAAGGGTCGCACAGAAAAAGACAACAAGAAAAAAACACTAAGTGACATGAAGAAGCATCTGTCGAGGAACGGGAGTTTCGCTATCGCCCCACGCAGCGGGTCCGGCGTTCCTAGAACGCCGGACCCCACGACCGTTGTATGTGCGGGTCCGGCGTCCCCAAAACAGCAGACCCCACCAGCGTGCCTGTCGGCACGGTGGTCGGCCGGACCCCTCCCTCGCCCGCATCGTCGACGGAACCCCGCGGCGTTTCATGTCCTTCCCTCCCTCCCCTTCCCTCTAGCAGCACCGAGCGGGGTCCGACGTTTCGGTGCTGCGATAGAGTAAGGGGGCCCCTCCCTCCCCGTCACTGGCAACAACACCAAGGGGGTCCGGCGTTCCGGGAACGCCGGACCCCCTTTGAGCTGTGGGGGAAGAAGTGGGTCCGTTCCCTCCCCTCGATGGCCACAGCACAAAGGGGGTCCGGCGTTCCCGGAACGCCGGACCCCCTTTGTGCCGCGGGGAAGGATGGGGGTCCGAGATCCGATCCGACGATGGGCATAGCACGAAGCGGGTCCGGCGTTCCCAGAACGCCGGACCCCCTTTGTGCTGTGGGGGATGAAGGGGGTCCGTCCCATCCCCTCGATGGCCACAACACCAAGCCTGCGCACCCCTCGCTCCCCCGAAGCGCGAAGGGGGTCCGGTGTTCCCAGAACGCCGGACCCCCTCTGCACTGCAGGGGGGGGAGAGGGGTGGGAACAAAGCGAGACGCACCGGTTCGATCCCCCGAAACGCGAAGGGGGTCCGGCGTTCCCGGAACCCCCTCCACACTGCGGGGAGGAG